GATTAAAGCTGGAAGTGGAGAAACTTGGAACGGTTTCGTCTTACTATCAATAAACTAAAAAGGCAAAAACAAAACGATTTTCTTTTCATTACGATGATGAATGTCCAAGACTCCTAACAGATTATCACCGGCCAGGACTGGACTGGTTCCATCCCAGCAGGTTTGGGTTTTGGTTTCATGCAGTAATTTAGAGCGCACTTCTCTAAAAATCAAGCAAGTTCGTTCCTGTAAGTTCTGTGGGTTTAAAAGAAAAGTTTTTGTCATTTGCAACACCCCCCCCCCCCCCCTATTTTACACAAAGGGTCAATGGAGCAGTTGCGTGCAGACTCACCCCAGAGATCTTTGTTCTCACCAGCAGCAGACTATGAGCTCATTCCCAGCTGGGCTGCCAGGGGAAGGTGACTACATGCGCACACGTCACACTTTTCAAACCGGAGGTCATGCCTGCGAGTTGAGCCTCTTCCCACTGATTCGTCTCCAAAAGAGACAGAAGCTGCCAAAGTTGAGTTTTCCTCGAATGCTGGCGCCCTCTGAGAGCTGTCGCTCCTCCTGCTTCAGGACGATGTGCGAGAATGTTACCGTGCTGCCAAAAATTAAAAAAACATCCAGTGAATTCAGGCCCCACCAGTGAATGATGCGATTCGCTCCTTAAAGGCAAAATCTGTGATCCAAGTGGGAACAAACAGGGAAAAACAATCCCACAAGGCTGATGAAACAATGAACCGTGCTCTAAACTAAACAGTATTTGTCCAAGCTCTGTTCTTTTGGTGCGACTCTAAAACCACCTGTAGCTTTTGTGGAAATGCAATGACACGCCGTGGTACATTGGAACTAGCCTCTTTAAAGCTTCTGCAGACCTGAACATCGAGGGCCGTTATGAGGAACTGCACCCAAGTGACCCACGAGCTAAAATCGATTGGTGGATTTAACTACATTCAGGGTGTGAATCCAAAACCATGTATTCAGGTCTCTCTTGTAAAGGAGTCCCCGAAGCTCAATGGGATTAACCTGTATAAATAAAGGTTGAATTAAAAAAAAACGGAGGCTAAAACTGTTCCTCTTAATACAATGAAAAGCAGAAATCTTGTAGCGATACATCACTACATATAGTGAGGTAAATAAATAAACAGTTAAAAGGTCTAGACTTTAAAAAATGATCTCAACGTTGTAAATCAAGTGCGCCCACGGTGGCGGTGGGGTTATGGTATGGGCAGGCGTGCGTTATGAACAATGATGGCATTTTGAACGCACAGAAATAACGTGATGAGATCCCAAGGCCCATCGTTGTTCTATTCGTCCACAACCATCACCTCATGCTGCAGCAGGAAAATACATGGCCCCATGTTGCAGGAATCTGTACACAATTCCTGGAAGCTAAAAACATCCCAGTTCTTGCATGGCCAGCATCCTCACTGGGCATGTCACCCATTGAGGATCTTTAGGATGCTCTGGATCGGCGTATACGATGACGTGTTCCAGTTCCTGACAATATCCAGCAACTTCACACAGCCATTGAAGAAGTGGACCAACATTCCAAAGGCAACCATCAACAACTGGATTAACTCTGTGTGAAGATGTGTTGCACTGCATGAGGCAAATGGTGGTCACACCAGACACTGACTGGGTTTCTGACCCCCGGAGAGAATAAATTAGTGCTCTACTCCAGAGAAGCTTAGAGTAGAGCCACTGGTCCTGCACACCGTTGAGGTGGTTTGGGTATTTGATTAGGACGCCTCTGGGATGCCTCCCTCTGTAGGTTTTCAGGGCATGCCTTCCTGGGAGAAGAACCTACAGAACTCTCTGTAGGGATTACAAGTTTATCCACCTTGGATTGGGAACACCTTGAGGTCCTTCAGAAGGATCTGGAAAGTGACACTGAGGAAAGGGATGTTGGAGTTTCTCTCTTGGACCTGGTGCCTCCACGATCAAACTACGGACCCGTGGCAGAGAAGTAAATAAATGGATGGATGGATGACGGACTGAGTTAAGGCTAAAGTAGTTTGTCAGTTTGAAATGATCACATTCTGTACTGGATTAAAAACACTGAGAAACACTCTTCAACAAAGGAAACCCCGTGACGTTCTGAGAACACTGAAAAATACATTTTAACCAAGCTCAATCTAATCATAAAAAAATGAACGGCGTTGTAATTAGTAAAATGTTAATTTTAATAAGGTGCTGGAAATGAGCGACAGCAATGTTTGTTCTTTTTTTACAGAACACAAGTCAAACGAACAACTCAGGATGTCACAGAGTGACCAAAAGAACCGGAGAACACGACTTCTTACAAAAACATACAAATATTCACAGTGTGGAGGAAAGGGAGGCTCAATGCACTGCACTGGTTGATTAAGGCAACACATCCAAAGGTAACAGACAACCCTTTCTATACAAGGAGAAAACAACACAAAACAAGCACCTGGAACAAATTACACAACCGCCTTTATCTCCTGAGGAAATACAGAAGAACGCTTCTTGGAGCACGCGTGCATGACGAGAACAAAAACACTGAACATGAACAGAAAACCTCAAAGTGACACATCTGCTGTTGTGCACTTCTTCATAGATGCAAAGCTGTTTTTGTCACAACTTTAGTGTCGTCAGTCAAATTCCTGTTAAGGCTTTGATTAGTTGAACATGTTGGCCTGAATATGTTGAAATTTTCCCATTAACTTAAAAATTATTGTTTGTGATATGTAAAAACTCATAATAACTTCAAAAACGTTATATGTTTTGTTCTATTTTTCACCCATGGAGGTCGCCATTTTTTTTTTTACCTGCGCTATGCATGCTGGGTTGATGACGCGGTTAGGTTCGTTCTGTACTGGAATCTACACAGTAAGCACAGGACGGCTAACATTACCAGGGGCGCAGGAAAAAAATAGATTAATTAAAGAATCTAGATTCTTAGTCCTGACGATTCTGAATCGATTCTAAAGACCCATAAATCGATTTTAAAATGCGTTTTTTAAGTTTTATTTTTTCCGCTACTACTCCCGGGCGTACTGCATATCGCATTACGTGTCCACTCGACCACTGCAGAATTTGGCCTTGTAGGCCACCGTACAGCAAGCTAGTTAAGCAGCTCCCTTTATCTGAATGGAGACCGCAAGCATGCAGCATGATTCAACCCGCTCCTTTGTTGTTAAAAGTTAGTATGAAGTCATTTTAGATCCTACGTTCTGTGGAAGACAGAGTTTGACAAGAACACAGTTGTTTGCAAGAAGTGTAAAATAAAAATGAGGTACTGTATTTTAAAAATACGACAAATGCGCAGAAGGTAGATGAAAGCGAAGCAGCCGACCAGCGAAACAAACTTCCAGCTAATTTCCCAAGCACGGCTGCGAGGATTTCCCACTCCATCTCCTGCTGTATCACAAAAGATTTATGAGCAGACAGCTCAGAGGAAGGCGAGGGGTTTAGGTTTATTTTTAATACGCTGGACCCAACATACGTTGCTCCTTCACGTGGCCTTTAGCGATAAAGCAGCGCCACAACTTCACCATGACAGAATAAAGTGGGAGAAGCTCTGATGAGCTGCAGCTCAAATGTAAGTTTTATCTCATATTATACAAAAACTTATAGACAAGTTATACAACAAACTTAATGTAATTTGTCTTTTTAACAGGTTGAAGAGAGTCCAGATAAGACACATCACCTGGGGCCAGTTCTAAATGATACAATTTATGGTTTATAAATTACAGTTCAGAAGAGTTTTTGTGCAGACTTGCACAGGTTTTGAAATTGTGTTAAAGATTTACCGAATATGAATCAATATGGTTAAAACTGTGAAGTCTGTATATTTTATATTAGGTTAAGTTTTGAAAGTATAGAAAATAGTGCAAAATGGTTAAAGTGTGGACGGGGCTAGCACTACAGGACCTAGCATACATCATTTACCCAGAATGCATTGCAGCGTAAACAACATGGCGACATCCGTGCGGCAATATTTTATTTAAATTTATAAAAACTAAACAGCCTAAAATATGTCTATTGTTTTTACATCTAAAATAAATATTTCTCAAATAAAATCCATTGTTACGACTAATCGTGGATCCCGTGGAGTTGAGCGAGTGGACTGTCAGAAACCTGCTGGTGTTTTCGAGAAAGGGCTCAGGAATTACAACACGAGGTAATTCTGTGCCTGTGCAACAAAACAGTTTAAAACTGTAATAAAATATGGCAATTTTTGGCTGTTAACTGCGTTAGTGTCGAGACTCCGTCAACAAATACTGGCAAACAGGTGGTGGTGGTGGTGGTGGGGGGATAAAAGCACAAAAAGTAACAGCAGATTAAAAGGTAAATCTCCTGAAATCAAACATTATGAGTTGTAACTACGTCTGAAAATTGAAAAGGATGAACGACTTTGCTTCTTCTAAATGAAAAGAGCAGGTGTGTGTGGTCACAGTTCACGTCTTTGGCTGGCAATCATCAATCTGGTGGGTAATTTGTGCATAATATTCATTTTGAGAAGATGATAAAACATAATCCAAGTACCTGCCTCTCAAAGACAGGTAATATCACAGGCCACTTAACGGCGTCAGGCCAGTTAATCCTCCGCAATGAGTCACAGCCGCAGTTTGAAGCGGCAGTAAAACACGAGAGTCCCTCGTTTTGAACCCAACTCAGCACAGCTGGGCCCGCTCATGGGCTGATGGACATGTCCATTTATCACCTTTTACTTCTCTGTAAGGGGCTGAAGCTTTATGGTAGTAAGCCAGTGTGAAGTCCCTTTTGTGCATTTGGAGGAATTGTCCCGTCTCTTGAGACATGAGACAAGTGGGAGAAAGAAGTTAAAACAATAAAGAGAAGACCTTAACGTCTGTAAACAGTCTGTCCACCTTGGATCCGTTTAAGGACCATAAATTGTTCACAAAAGTTTGTTTACAAACAAACAAATAATTATTTAAAAAAGAAAATGAGATGAATTAAACCATTATTGGACCTAGAGTTGACCTCCTGAGTAAAAATCAAGAACCAGTCTTGGTTCTTCTCTGTGGCTAAACAATAAGTTATCATCTCTACGGTAACCAGTATGTACACGTCCTAAAATATTACACCTTACAAAGAGCAAAAGCTTCCCAGTCGCTTTTCAACTCCACTTTTCCCTCCTCCTCGTGCTACAGCAAGAACTTCAAAGATTTTTTTCTCTTCTGTCTCACACAGAGACAAAGACGTCCAGGTAGAGACGATCGTAGGACTCCCTGAAGAAGAGGATGAGGACAAGGCTGAAGAGACAGGAGCCGGTCACACACCAGTTCAGCCATGACACATCTGGATAAAGGAGGACAGGGGAAAAGGTGTAAAGGTTAGATTTTGTCTGCCGTTGTTATCAGCACATAATTTACAGGAGTACTGCACATGTTACATTATACACACATCGCCAAACATACGGTTATGACCCGGATAAGAAAAGACCTATTATACATACATCATAAATTCATATATATATCCATTGAGCCTTGAGGTCCTTTTGTCTAGTTCAGTCCTCACTGAGGGAACACTGCAGGTAATGATGTCCTGAGAGCGCACGCTGTAGCTGCACTCACGCAGAGACATGTAGGAGGAGATGTAGGAAGGCAGCAGACCAGGAAGTGATTTAAAGATGAAAATGTACCAGTGGGAGAGTCTGTGTGAAGTTAATGGTGCCCGGGTAGCAATTAGGGAATAGGTGTCTTGCTCAGAGACACTGTGACATGTTGGCATGGGGGGGCGTCGAACCACGACTTTCTGATCCCAAGTCTGCTGCCCTAACTTTACACCATCTCGGCCACCAATTGTAACAATTGACCTTGACCTTAGTGCTGGCATGATGAAAAGAATACACGACATGCTGTGTAGTGTACAAATATACATAAACTTTTGCTAAATTATCTTGAGCAGATCAGAAGTTATGGCCCGGTCATGCAAAAACTTTGTACAACATTTGATCTTGATTTGTAACCTTGACCTTGGAGCTGGCATCATGACAGCAAGGTCAACAAGGTGCATGCTAGGTGGCATGGTGGCACAGTTGGTAGAGGTATTTCCTCTCAGCAAGAAGGTTGCCGGCTCTAATCCTCGACGGGGGGCCTTTCTGGGTGGAGTTTCTCTCCGTGCATGTGTGGGTTTTCTCCGGGTACTCCGGTTTTGTCCCACAGACCAAAAACATGCATGTTAGGCTGATTGGTAACTCTAAATTGTCCCTAGGTGTCAGTGAGGGAGTGAATGGTTGTTTGTGTCATTTCTCTATGTGTCCCTGTGATGGACTGAAGACCTGTCCAAGGTGTCCCCCAGCCTCTCGCAGTGCCCGCTGGACATGGGCACCAGTGACAACCACTTAAAAAGGAAGAAGTGGGTAAAGAAAATGGATGTAGTGATGGATGAAATGATGGATGGATGGATTCATGGGATGATGGATGGAAGGAAGATACATGCTAGATCTTCAAGTACAAATACATTAAGATCATGGATGTTTCAGACATCACAACTAAACCAGAGCAGGGAATAAACGGCAAGTTCAACTGTGTTGACTAACAAACTACAATATACTACTAACTATTGGTTCTTAGTACCGAAATCATCAACACAAGAACAAAAACCCAATGAGAGTCGATAGGAAGTGATAGAGAAAGATTTATCGCCAGCTTTAACAAATAATCAATGAGAATTCCTGACATGTCTCATGCAGTCTTTGCTGTTTTTCTGAATCATCCTGAATAATTCAATGTTATTGGCTGCGTTCCATCTTATCATTGACCTACACTTGAACCTAAACATGGTGCAGAATGAGGCATTCTATTTTCCAAGCTTCATTCAGGCTCCATTAACCACAGGAGCGGTGCTCTTGCAGTCTGTGCTAACGCTGAATCTGGAGGGCAGATGGGAACCTCGCACCATCACTGAACCGTCTGCATCTTAACTCTGCACCACGATACAAACACCCCTATGGATGCGCTCGCTCACATCTTCCCCACATACGTTTGCACAGATGCAGTAACGCCACAACTGCGTGTCAAAAGCGTCGAGCGAGAAGCTGCCCTGCTTGGAGGGGAAATCATCTTGGCCAGGACAGAGGCTGTTGATCAGCTCATAAATGCAACCCAGACTAAATATAGAGAAATCAGGTCATAAGACACAGCAGGGGACAGGGGACATATGCCAGGACGCTGTGTCACAATTCACTGCAAGCTTTCATATTGAACACATCAGTGCATAAAATAAAAGGTTGACTGTTTGTCTGAACTTCTACTTTTCAAAGAAAAACAAACCATGGGGCAAAAGGTGCAAAGTTGAAGGCAAGGATAAACTAGGGCAAAAGGGAGGTGACGCAGGGTTTCTTTTTAGGAGGAAAAGAGAGTAAGGGATTTGATGTGGGAATCTACCAAGAGAAGTCAAGACGCCTGATTAATCAGGAGTGCATGAGCTGGACAGCAGAAGGCCCAGCACTGAGGTAGGGTAATGGCATGTATTTATCAAAAATGCATTTCTTATCTAACCGTGTTTCACTTTCTTGACCACTTGTCCATTTAAAATTGGAGGAATGCTAATGTACAGCTGAAAGGTTGAAGAGAGTTAGCCAGGGAATGTGGGATACATGGACATTGCCCCAGTCAGGTCTCTAAGGACACAGTTTGGCTGAACAGCTAAGATGATGTTAAGGAAGAAGAAAGTATGAACAAATGTTCTCAAAAGAAGAAACAAAGAGAGAGTGACTTATGTAAGGCATGAAATGAGTTCTATGTCTGAGAGGACCCATGTATTTACGTTCTAAACTAAAACCTGAGAGCAATCGGTAAGTTGTGAGTTTTTCTGTTAACCACATGACTAATCCGTCCAATGCAAGATCCCAAAGCATGATTTAACAAACACAAACTCAGTAACCATGCAGAAGACTAAATTTGTGTCTGCTCTTACATTCCACTAAAGACATCAGCTGAAAGAAAACAGCTCTGAAGACAGGGTACACAAGAGGCCTTTGGTACTGAATTTCTGTTTTCTCTCCAAACCAAGCCTTTAAAATGTAAATACCATGCAAACTTGTGAAAAAACACATATTTCCTTTAAAACAACTTGCACATATTACATCTAAAAACAGCACGTTTGTCATCACAAATTCAAAATGTACCGGTAAATGTAAGCATCCTAAATTAATCAAAAACGCTAAAATATAGGTGAAACAAGTGAAACAGAACAAAGACACTAAAATACTGGAAACTCCGTATGAAGCAGAGTTAATAAGTACATAAATCACCTGGTAGAATGAGGTTCTCTAACAACAGGTCGATAACGTCAGTATAAGAAGTCTCCTAAAGAGATCGTTCACGTTTTACCTGTAAGTGGTGAATGGGACAGCTGCAGACGAAAAACATCAGAGATGACGTGAACAGCAACAACGTTCAAGTGCGTGAAGGATCTCGTTCAGAAGACCAACGGGAACATGAACACTGCGGCCCAATAAAGGGTCTGCCATGGTCAACAGAAAGCTGCCACAGATCAACATGGGAACACGTCCCCGGGCTTCCTGTGGCCTTCAGGATTCTTAGCTGACCTCATGTTAGCATTACGGATGCTAATATGACTTTACCTTTGTTACAACGGGCTGAGGTCAAGCCAACTCCAAGTCCCAAACTTGGCCATTTTTTTAACGGTTTTATACACCCGTCTATTATGAGATATCCTGATGCATGCACAATAATCCAGGTAGAAAAATCTAACAAAGTTAAGTCTGGTCCTCTGGACCCGACTTAGTGAAGTTAGTTGTGAAGGAAGCCATCTTTATGAAAAGAACCCATCCATCATTAAACAGGGGCGGAGCCTCCATGTCCAACTGTCCATCTCTTACAATGTTGTTATTGCTAGTATCACTCAGTCCTCTGTGGGCGGCTGTGGCTGAGTTGTTAGAGCAGTCGTCCTCCAATGTAAGAGTTGGGGGTTTGATTCCACCAGCAGTCACATGCTGAAGTGTTCCTGGGCAAGACACCAAGTGCCTCCGATGTGTCCCATCAGTGTATGAATGTGATAAAACTATGATTAGTCTTTGTAGAGATCTAGTAGAGTGCTGTATGAATGGGTAAATGAGGGCACAGATTGCAGCGTAAAGTGCTTTGAGTGTCTCGATAAGATAGAAAGGTGATATACAAGTACAGTCCGTTTACAGTCCCTCTGTGAATAGCAAGCGGCCATCAGGGACTAATGATGAATTGTTGGGCTGATGGTCCTTTATCATGGTCTGGATGTCAATTCTATTCAGTTTATGTATACAGCGCCAATTCACAACAACGTTGTCTCAGGGCACTTTACAGAAACATTCACATATGTAGAAAAGCCAAAGTTCTGGTTGAATCTTCACTTCATCACAGTCTCCCATCATCACCATCTCCCATGTCAACAACCAACTGGTTGATCCACTATGAGAAGGTGCAGTTTATAAGACTGAGTTTATTATAGCTTCTTGGATTGACGAAGTCTTTTGGATAAAAGACGAAACGTTTCAACAAGTTTTAATTGTATTTTTTCTTGTTTATTTTTTTTAAACCGTCCAGAGGACCTGACTCCCTTTGTTAGATACGATGGTATGGTTTACACACGCCTGTAAACTTTCTCTTGACCAGCCCATATTTTCCAATTTGCTCAACATAAATTAACAAAACTTTGTACACGTATTCATCATCACTAGATGAAGTGTCGCATGCATGTTTTATCGCTCCAGCTCCAAAGTCAAGGTCATAAATCAAGGTCAAATGTTAGACAAGGCCTTTGCTTGTCCAGGCCGTTACTTGATTGCTGTTTTGCTGTATAATAGTTTGCCGATGAGTGCATACTGTGACGTATGTGGAACTCTTACTAAATCTAGGTTAAGAAGTATCTAAGAAGTAAATTACCAGTAGCCCGACTGCTCATAACTCCTTCCCCCACCACCACCACCACTGCTGCCTCCTTGTGAGTCACTCCCACAGTAAAAGTACAGCAAATGAAAAAGGTTTTCATTCTCTCAGGAATGACTGAACTCTACAGTGAACGGTGGTTTGTTTGTGTTTTTTAAACACCTCCGCAGTCTTTAGGGAAGTTTGAAAAAGTTACTCTGCAAAAGGCATTTAAACTTCAGAAAAGAATGGAAACTTTAGCAGAAATGAAAAATAAAAAGTCAAGGGACTAAAGAAGTGCTGCAATTATTTCTCAGTGCTGAATAATTTGTGCTTCTCCGCCACGCAGGAAGACTGACTAGGCTTTGCTCAGTGGAAAACTCAACACCACCCTTCCACCCGCTTCTCATCTTCCTCCACAGGCACTTG